TTTGTGTGTTCGTGTGTGTGTATATATGTATTCACCCTGTGCATAGTTGTATATACACTCCTATAAATGAGTGAAATACATGCTCACTGCCAATACACACCTTTATAACTACATACATACACACGCTTTTGTCAGGTCGAGGATCCGGCGCTCCGATTGGAAATGTTCACCAGCCCTATACGCAGATGAATTCAGACCCATCTGGGGCAAAGTCGCGATCACTAGCTAAAACACTGCACGACATGGTAGGACTAAATGGGTCCAAATTGTGTGATCTCCGGGACAGCTCTGAGTTCAAAAAGGTCTACAGCACCATGCAGGCGGTGGCCAATTCTAAGTGAGTCTATTCAAACACACCCAACTGCACCTAATTTTTGGTGATGGTGTATAAGGAGATATATATTGTTGATAGATATATATATATGTGTGTGTGGGTGTGGGTGTGGGTGTGGGTGTGTGTGTGTGCGTGTGTGTTTGTGTGTGTGGGTGGTGTGTGTGTGTGTGTGGGTGGGTGTGGGTGTCCACATGTATAATAAGACATCAATATAATCTAGCAATTGTACATTTATGCAGGCTTTTTATATGTGTCGCACGAGCTTTACCTGATCATATCATCCTCCAGCGACATATGTACTTGTTATACAAACCTTTATACTATTCATCCCTATTCATACACACATCTGCATGTGTTCGAGGATCCTACCTACACACAGTTATCATTCGCATCTGACTTTTCATGTGGTCAAAACTCAGGCCGGCGCAATTATTGAAGGAATACTCCCCTTGGCTAGCTGCCTTCCACTCGGCCGATCACCGGGCCGTAGACGCCATCGAAATTCCGGGACGGTATTCCGGGACGGCTAAGCCTATCCCGTCACTGCACCCCACAATCACCAAGTTCGACGAAACTGTAAGTTACCGTGAGAAGCCAAGCTTGGTATTCAAATATGAGAGTGTAAGTCCGAAACTGTAGGTGATCCAACACCCGACACAAGGTGAAATCGGATGTGATTTTTTGGTTGAAAGCCCCGATATTATATACTATCTTCACCCATACAAATACCGGGACGGTATTCCGGGACAGCCAGACTTGTCCCGTCACTACATCCCACAATCACCAAGCTCAACGCAACCGTAGGTAATTCGGAAGGCATATCTTTCGAGTATGCGATTGAATTGTACGTGTTAAACTGTGTCTGACCCGAAACCTGATGTTTCAGGTGATACTAAAGTTGATTTTGTATTAAATGACCTAGTGTTCTATGCCGTCTTCGCCCATACCATCACCAATTTCGCCGGAATTGGTATCAAACTATATCGTGACTGTATCGCTAAAGTATGATTTATCGCTCGGCGCCCCCACACATAGGCTGAGAATAGGTGCACCAATTGTCTATGGCATTAGAGTGCAAGTATTTCGAAGCCATGCCGGTTTGCTTGCTATCTGGTTGTTGAAAACAGAGTCTCGCAGGTTTCACTGTCAACTGATCTACCATTTATACAGACACCTAAGCATACCATATACACACAGGACACGCAAACCGCTGTACAACGTATCCCAGCACAACTTAAAAGCCTGATATGTAGTGTGTTCTATTCGCACGCAGGTTTTGGTTCTGTCCTCCATCCGGCGCCCAAAGCGGATCAAAATGCTTGCCAACGACGGGAGTGTGCACCCATTTCTTGTAAAAGGGGGTGAGGACTTGCGCCTGGACCAGAGGGTAGAGGGTATTTTCGACAGTATGAACTCGGTCTTTGGACAGAACACAGAGTGCCGCAGACGCCGGTTGAGGCTGACTACCTATGCAGTGGTTCCGGTATCAAAGTGAGTGGTTTCAATATATATATATATACATATATATATATATATATATGTGTGTGTGTGTGTTGTGTGTGTGTGTGTGTGTGTACATATATATATATATATATAAACCCATTCATACATACATACATACATATATGTATCTATGTATCATTGTATCTATGTATTTAAATACATATATATGTATATATATATATGTGTGTGTGTGTGTATGTATATATGTATGTATATACGTACGCATGTATGTACGTACGTATGTATGTATTGTATGCCTGTATGTATTGTATATATATATA